CAACACTTTGCAGTATGTATATTTTTCCAATGACATTTCTCGTTTTTGAAGTCAAGAGTTCAGGAAGAGGACCACCCTCATATTTATGGAGCGTACATATTGGAACGGCTAATGAATTTTATCCATGACACAATTAGTGCATACTTTCAAAGTTCCCCTGTGTGAATCTTTTTTTGAATCAAAGTCTGCTCACATTAAGAGCGTTTTTTCTGACGCTTTCAGTCTTCATGCTTATTTGCAGTCTGCATACTTAAAAGTCTTAATGCACAGCTCAAGGGATTCCTGGCAACAAGAAAACTGGTGGCTGCGCTGTCCTGAAAAGATTATCTATGATGTCATCCTGCTTGCATCATCGAGAAAATTTGATCAGGGTGCATGTAATTCACACCTGATCTGTGTTGGGGGAGGGGCGCCATGCCCATCAAGGGTGCCAATCACACTGCTGTGAAGTGGAGACAGAGTTTGCGGCTGGCATGGTCCTGTTTCATTGTCTGATCTAGCCATCCATTCACGCATATAATTTGTGGACATCGTCCGGTGCCAGGATGTGATCTGAGCGCTGGGAGAAGCAAGGTCTCTGTCTTCATGGGGACAGACCTTTTATCTTTATAGTTAGGGGAAGGAGATGAGCAATCCAAAACTAACAAACCAGTGTTCAGAGGACAGTAAGTGCCATGGGGATTTCAGGAAGGAGGCGGACGTGACCTACAGCTGCACAGAGAAGAGCAGACTCGTCAGGACAGACCTCCCTGAGAAGAGGCCATTTGAGGTAAAGCCTGAAAAACGAAGAAGAACCAACTATGGGCGAGTCCAGAGGAAGAACTTTCCAGGCAGAGAGACCTGCAGCTGCGAAGAACCATAGGCCAGTAACAGATTGGCAGTTGCAAGAAGGAGAAAGTAGGCTGCTGTGTGGCGAGCAGGGCGAGAGTGACAAAGCAGAGAAGTGGAGGACGGACCCTGCAAGCTCTTCTACATTGTGCAAAGGGTTTGAATTTATTATCAGTGCAGCAAGAAGCCACTGCAGAGTTAAAACAGAGCAATGTCACCACCTAATACCTTTCACAAAGAATATTCTAGCAGTTCTTTGAAAAGCAGAACCGGAGCCATTTAGTCACCCTAGTGAACAATACTGGTGGCCCAGGGAGAGCAGTGGGCCTGGAGTGGAAGAGAAATGGTCTCTTGAGTCGGTCATTTAGACACAGAGACGACGGGGTTTGCTCATGAATTAGCTGTCCTGGGAATGGGGACACTTCGTGTGGCCAGAGCCAGGCTGGGCCAAGGGATGAAATTTGGGGTGGAAAGGGACACGTTTGACCTTGAACCCGGAATCACCAAGGAGGTTCTACAGAGGGCAGCCTTTTCTTATTGTGTCATGGGGATAATTGTAATCATCCTCTTTTGCTAAATAAGTGTTCATAAGAATAAACTTGCCACTCACCCACGTTACCAAGATTTACACATGAAGTAGTCTTATTAAACACATCATCGATAGAGAGAGAGACAGAGAGACTCATTCCACACCCAGGCCACCCCCATTCTGGCTGTCTCCCCTCTCTCGCCCCAGCTGCCGGTGACAAACAAAAATCACTTAAGTCAAGTGAGCCGTTTTAAATGTATAATCTTAAAATGTGTTTTAGAAACTCCTTGGAACCCTCAGCCATTGTTAAAACACACTGACTTTGACTGATGCTTTGGCACTTTTTTTTTATGAGGCTTTTCAATGCATTACTTTATCAGGTACATGAAATGTAGTCTGTTCTGTAGAAGAAAACAGACAAAAAGGGTCTCTCAGCACGAGTTACTCCTCTGTAAAGGTTATAGTAAACATGTCAATGCCTAATTAAGCAGAAAATTTTATCTGTATTGTGGGGGAGGCATTGGCTGTCTCCGACTTTTCTTCTGGGGAAACCGTTTAGAAGGACAAAGTAGATTGTGAAGTTGAACTGGTCCAGAAAGCTCAGCTTCCAAATGTCAGCAGGAAAAAAAAGAACACTTCTTTTTTCCTTGTGCGAGAATGACGATATTGGCTGGGGCGGGGGGGGGGGGGGGGTACGTGTGTACAACGTGCACTTGTATCTTTCATCAACATACATAGAAAATAACATGAACAACTTCCCAGCTTCCTGCTAAATATCAGGTCCAGCACTAGACACCGAAAATACTGAGATGAATAGCACTTAGCAACACCCTTAACCAATTGTGATGACCGAAAGCCCTCTTTTTTTATTAAATTTATTGGGGTGACAATGGTTCGTGAAATTATATAGGTTTCCAGTGTACAATTCTGTAATACATCATCTATATTTCACATTGTGTGCTCACCACCCAGAGTCATTTCTCCCATCACCATATATTTGACCCGCTTTACCCTCATCTACCATCCCCCCTCTGGGAACCACTAAACTGTTGTCTGTGTCTATGAATTTTTGCTTGTTTGTTTGTCTTGTTCGTTTGTTGCTTTCAGTTTTATAGCCCACATATGAGTGAAGTGATATGGTTCTCAACTTTTTCAGTCTGAGTTATTTAGCTTAGCATGATAATCTCAAGATCCGTCCATGTTGTCAGAAAGCTCTCTTTTCTTTCCCCTAAATGTATTTGGTTGTGTGTGTGTGTGTGTTAGTGTGTGTGTGTGCGCGCACGCGCACGTGCACATGCATGCATGTTTGGATGTGCACACATACACATTTTTCTTATTTCTGTGATTAAAGTCCCCATAAGTGTGGTGACTGTATCTCGGTTAGCCTGGCACAGTAGTCCCAGCTAATGTGTGTTGTCCCCGTGCGTGAGTCATCAAGTCCTTTTAATTCTCAAAAGTGACCCTGTTTGGTTGATAAAATTTGCCTGATTCTCTGAAGTACTGTGTTTGGCTCTGTAGCAACTCTGTGTATGAATTTTATAACAGATGATCTCCCTGAACTTAATGGCATGACTCTTTCTGCAAACATAGAAATTAGTCCAGGAAAAAGAAAATGGGATGAGGGTGGGGGCAGCCGGTCTGATTCAGGCATTCAGTTATTTTAAACGGGTCTTTCTTGCAAGTAGTGACCATTTACTAATATGGTTGTTTGACTAGATTGAGTAGCTTTTATTTCTTCAAATCAGTGTATGGAACTAGAGACCAGCACACCAGCTTAATGAAAAATCCACTTGTCAACTTGCTAGGAAGGCCAAAGCACAACACCAATGGCAATAAAATAGCAAGCCCACTCATGAAACTCATGGCTAGACTGAATTTTTACATTTAGTCTTGTTTTAGGGTATCATGCCCCTAAAATCGTGGGCTCCTGTCTCCAGCATCCCCGCAATTCTCCCCTCTGAGATGGTTATCCATTGAGTGACATTTTAGTGCAGTTCCACTGCTTAACCTTTCACCTTTGGGTCTCTGCAACATTTTCTTATTCATTTGATTGGTAATAAGAAGAAAGGGAAGCCTAGTGATTCAGACCATGGATTCTCTCATCAAACAGGCTGGGTTCAGGTCATGACCCTGTGAAACTAGCTGTGTGGTCTTTGGCGAATTTCTTAGGCTTAAAGCCTCAGTTTCCCCATCTGTGAAATGAAAATAATAATAGTTTTTCCTTGGTGTAGATATTGGATGAAATGAGTGTATTTGCAGCAGTTACCATCATTCTTAGGAGAGGGTAATTGCTCAATAAATATTCCTCTTCTGCAGCAGGAGGGGTCTTTGGGGTTCCTGACTGCAGCTGCATTATCCCTCACACACCCCTTCTCTCCTAACCCTCTGCTGGTCTCGCAGGACAGCCCTCCAATGCATGATCACCTCGTTTCCATTCCCTGGAGAATAGAAATAACAGCATTACCCTGGGGTTTCTCCCAAGTACCCACCTGCATGGAGAGAGCAGATAGAAGCTCGTAAGGAAAACATTACACTGAGATCATGCAGGCCTTGTGAATCTCAGGCTGAATCTCCCTTGCTTTGGTGTTTCTTTGGTTGCATTTTATCCATGCGGCTCTGAAAAGGCCAGGTGAAGAAAATGAGTACCTGGCATAAATAGTCCCATTCCTCTTCTCCACTGATGGATATTTGCCCATTTAATTCTCTTTGCACCCACTCTCTCATGCCTTCATTTTCCCTGTGCAATTACTGGTCCTAAATCCTTTCAGAGAAGGGAAAGCATGCATCCCCAATAGCATTTTGCATCTACAAATCAAACGTATAATTGGCATCTCATGACGGGTCCCCACAAATCACAGTGCGTTTGAAATTACAGGCACAAGATCGAGAGGGAATTTTTAGCCTTGTCTGAAAAGGTCTCCATAAAACTGTTTGAGAATAATAGGATAGTCCCCAAATCTCCCATTCTAACACCATTTGCTATTATTTTAAAATCATTATGTTTGCTGAGCTTACATAATTTTTTGGCTATCAATGGAAGATCTTATTCCATACTGCATAAGCTCTCTACCTGCTGTGCAACTCTCTACAAATAAAAATGTTATAACAAAAAGAACACTGGCTATCAAAAAATATAATGGCTGTACATCCAAATTACTTTTGGGCATTCAAAAATGATTTATTAAGATGATTTTATGCCAATAGAGCCAAGTGTCTTGGTACGCCTTACCGTGGAGATGCCAAGGATCAAGGCATAGTTTTCTTATGAGTCAACGTCCTTCTCTGTAGAGATATGTCCTTAATAGAATTTGAATTTCAGTCCAGCTTTCCTGAAAGCCATATGCATGAATTTAGTGACTGTCCCATTATAGGACTATTAGAGAGATATTCCTTAAACGTGAAAATTATTAACTTGGGATTCTAGGCATTTGTATAGAATTATGACTCCTGCCAATTAAAAAAAAGGGGGGGAGGCATTAGATAGCACAAAAGACATCATTTGGCTTTTTCCTACGCAGTTCATAAAAGCGTAGATTACATTGCTGTTCAGCTTGGTATGGAAAGCACTTAGTCTAAGTGGGGAAAACCAGGATGGAATATGTAACCTGTTATTATTATTTCATCTCTCCTTCTTCTCCTGCAGGCTACGCCCAGGAGGAACAGCTGAAGGAAGAGGAGGAGATAAAAGAAGAAGAGGAGGAGGAGGAAGACAGTGGTTCAGTCGTTCAACTTCAGAGCAGCAATGACCCAGGGACAGATGAGGAGCTAGAAACGGGCCCGGAGCAGAAAGGCTGTTTCAGCTACCAGAACTCGCCAGGAAGCCACCTGTCCAATCAGGACGCTGAGAATGAGTCCCTGCTGAGCGACGCCAGTGATCCCGTGTCAGATGTCAAGAGCGTGTGCGGTCGAGATGCTTCGGACAAGAAAGCGAGCGCTCACCCCAAGCTTCCGAAGGAAGCCCACAATTGCATGGATAAAATGACAGCCGTCTACGCCAACATCTTGTCTGATTCCTACTGGTCGGGCCTGGGTCTGGGCTTCAAGCTGTCCAACAGTGAGAGACGAAATTGTGACACCAGAAATGGCAGCAACAGGACTGATTTCGATTGGCACCAAGACGCCCTGTCCAAAAGCCTGCAGCAGAACCTGCCTTCTAGATCCGTGTCGAAGCCCAGCCTGTTCAGCTCGGTCCAGCTGTACCGCCAGAGCAGTAAGATGTGCGGGACCGTCTTCACCGGGGCCAGTAGGTTCCGGTGCCGGCAGTGCAGTGCCGCCTACGACACCTTGGTCGAGTTGACTGTGCACATGAATGAAACAGGCCACTATCAAGATGACAACCGCAAAAAAGACAAGCTTAGACCCACGAGCTATTCAAAGCCCCGCAAAAGGGCCTTCCAAGATATGGACAAGGAGGATGCTCAGAAGGTTCTGAAATGTATGTTTTGTGGCGACTCCTTCGATTCCCTCCAAGATTTGAGCGTCCACATGATAAAGACGAAACATTACCAAAAAGTGCCTTTGAAGGAGCCAGTACCCACCATTTCATCAAAAATGGCCACTCCGGCGAAGAAACGCGTCTTTGATGTCAATCGGCCATGTTCCCCCGACTCAACCACAGGATCGTTTGCAGAGTCGTTTTCTTCTCAGAAGAGCGCCAGCTTGCACTTGACCCCCAACAACCGTTACGGCTACCAGAATGGCGCCAGCTACACCTGGCAGTTCGAGGCCTGCAAGTCCCAGATCTTAAAGTGTATGGAGTGTGGGAGCTCCCATGACACCTTGCAGCAGCTCACCACCCACATGATGGTCACGGGGCACTTTCTCAAGGTCACCAGCTCTGCCTCCAAGAAAGGGAAGCAGCTGGTGTTAGACCCACTAGCCGTGGAGAAAATGCAGTCGCTATCGGACACCCCAAACAGCGATTCTCTGGCTCCCAAGCCATCAAGTAACTCGGCTTCCGACTGTACAGCCTCTACAACTGACTTAAAGAAAGAGAGTAAAAAAGAAAAACCAGAGGAGACCAACAAGGATGAGAAAGTCGTAAAAAGTGAGGACTATGAAGACCCTCTCCAAAAACCTTTAGACCCTACAATCAAATATCAGTATCTAAGGGAGGAAGACTTGGAAGATGGCTCAAAGGGTGGAGGGGACATTTTGAAATCATTGGAAAATACCGTCACCACAGCCATCAACAAGGCCCAGAACGGGGCCCCCAGCTGGAGCGCGTACCCCAGCATCCATGCAGCCTACCAGCTGTCAGAAGGTGCCAAGCCTTCCCTGCCTCTGGGGTCCCAGGTACTACAGATCCGACCTAACCTGGCCAACAAGTTAAGGCCAATTGCACCAAAGTGGAAGGTGATGCCGCTGGTACCTGTGCCCACACACCTGGCCTCATACACTCAAGTTAAGAAGGAGCCAGAAGACAAAGATGAAGCCGTGAAGGACTGTGGCAAAGAAAGTCCCCACGAAGAGGCGTCGTCTTTCAGCCACAGTGAGGGGGAGTCTTTCTCTAACAGTGAACCCCCTTCAGAATCCAAAAAGGCTGAGCCTTGTCCCCCGAAGGAGGAGGACAAGCTGATGAAAGAGGGTGGCAGCGAGAAAGAGAAACCCCAGCCCTTGGAGCCAGCGTCTTCTCTCAGCAACGGCTGTGCACTGGCCGGCCACACCGCGGCCCTGCCGTGCATCAACCCGCTCAGCGCCCTGCAGTCCGTCTTGAACAACCACCTGGGCAAAGCCACGGAACCCCTGCGCTCACCTTCCTGCTCCAGCCCGAGCTCAAGCACAATCTCTATGTTCCACAAGTCGAATCTCAATGTCATGGACAAGCCGGTGTTGAGTCCTGCCGCGACCAGGCCGGCCAGTGTTTCCAGGCGCTACCTGTTTGAGAACAACGATCAGCCCATCGACCTGACCAAGTCCAAAAGCAAGAAAGCTGAGTCCTCGCAAGCACAGTCCTGTACATCCCCACCTCAGAAGCACGCTCTGTCTGATATCGCAGACATGGTCAAAGTCCTCCCCAAAGCCACCACCCCAAAGCCGGCCACTTCCTCCAGAGTCCCTCCCATGAAGCTGGAAATGGACGTCAGGCGCTTCGAGGATGTCTCCAGCGAAGTCTCAACGTTGCATAAAAGGAAAGGCCGGCAGTCCAACTGGAACCCTCAGCATCTTCTGATCCTGCAGGCTCAGTTTGCCTCGAGCCTCTTCCAGACATCCGAGGGCAAGTACCTGCTGTCCGACCTGGGCCCGCAAGAGCGAATGCAGATCTCAAAGTTTACGGGACTCTCGATGACAACTATCAGCCACTGGCTGGCCAACGTCAAGTACCAGCTTCGGAAAACGGGCGGGACCAAATTCCTGAAAAACATGGACAAGGGACACCCTGTCTTTTATTGCAGTGACTGTGCCTCCCAGTTCCGAACCCCTTCCACCTACATCAGCCACTTAGAATCCCACCTAGGTTTCCAAATGAAGGACATGACCCGCCTGGCCGTGGAACAGCAAAGCAAGGTGGAACAAGAGATCTCCCGGGTGTCGTCGGCTCAGAGGTCTCCGGAAACCATAGCTGGCGAAGAGGACACAGACTCTAAATTCAAGTGTAAGTTGTGCTGTCGGACATTTGTGAGCAAACATGCAGTAAAACTCCACCTAAGCAAAACGCACAGCAAGTCACCCGAACACCACTCTCAGTTTGTAACAGACGTGGATGAAGAATAGCTCTGCAGGTATGGGTTTGCTCCCATCTGGTTGGGACAGTGGCCTTGTGAGCAGTTTCTTGAAGGGAGATGGGTCTGTGTAGAGGCAGCTAATGTCTCCCCCTGCCAAGAGGCCAGTAGCTTGCTGGAATAGAACTTCTGTTTCTGAAGACTAGGACACGATAAATAAGTCCTAACTGTTTTGTCAATTTCTGCAGCGTAGAGTTGGGGGATAGAACAAAATGGGTTTAGAGAGATGGACTTCACAGATTACTGCTTCATGATACGTGACCCCCTTAGTTACCCAAAGCCCAGCTTGCAACGCCCAGCCAAGGATCACCTCATTTTAATGAATAAGTACTAACTTCTCTCACAGTCCCATTTCACCCCCTCACCTTCCCACAGTAATGCAAATGACATATAAAGTGGTAAAAAAAAAAAAAGTAATCCACAGAATAAAGATTGTAGACTTTCTGGGGGCAGCCACTAGACAGAGATTTCTTAATCATTTTAGGAATAGTTTAAAGTTGTCTTTATCATTATTACTTGTAGTCGATGCTTTTTGCAGCTTACTGTCAGCAACTGCCACCTTCCACTCTCTTCCCTTTGTCTATTTCCTCCGTTAGGTTTCCTATGAAAGAGCATCCGCCCCATTCAGATGACAGAAAAATATTCTTCTCTGCAGAACAGAGAGGAAAACAGAGGAGAGTTATTTTCTTCTCTCATCCTTTTGTTTTTCCTTAGGATAGACTAATGCCAGAGCCCACCTTTAACAAAGGTAGATTGCAATGCGTGCCTTGAGACTATTTTACATAAGGAAACAAATGACTTTCTGCACCCCCATGGCCAATGCACATGGGGGCCCATTGCTTCAAGATAATCTGCTCGGTGCCTTGTAGAGTCATCGGTGCCAAGACTATCTACATCACCTCCAGGAAAGAGGACAGAGGCCAAGGTCAAATACCTTTGCAAACTAGTCACACTGGCCATTTTCAAATGTTTTCAAGGCTGGGTCTTAACAGATCCCTTCCATCTTCCTTTTTGTCTTTACTTCCTTTTCTCTTCCCTCCAGCATGATAATCCCCGACCCCCCACCCACCCACCCCCGTCCCATGTGCTAGGGACCCTCGTACAGCTTCAGGCATCCTCTGCCTTGGGCTACACCCCAAGATGACAAGAGGACCAAACCTGACTTGTCAGTTCAGTTTATGTCATGCTAGGTTATAGATGAGCTCTTTTGATTCATTCACAATAAGATATAAACAGCTAATAATAAGTTAACATAAAAGCCCTCACCACCCTCTATGGTCAGAGCGTTTGTTATAATAGGAGACTTTCAGATCCAGCCACAAAGGTATGAGCACTAGCCTGGGTCCAGGTGGAGAGAGGTATTTCTATAGCGTGGCTTTGGGCTAACTCTTCAATAGGTAGGGAGATTTGCTGAGTGTGAGGGTAGTCAAAATGAAGTAAAGGGTTAAAACAACTGATCTGGGACTTTCAGCAAAAAGATCTAAGAGCTTCTGATAAAGGGGGACGCCACCCTGTTATTCTAATGGCTCTCTGGGCCCAAATGAAGACTATTGTTTTGTTTGCATGTTTTTATCATGATAATTAAAATGTGTTACTGGCAGATTCAGCTCTTGCTTTCCAAGCATGGTTTGTTCCTTCAGCTCACACTAGTGAAAGAAAAGCTGAAATGTATCTGTGGAATCTACACGTGAACTTGGGGCTCAGCAAATCTGTTTATTTGCTATATCACATTTTAAATTTTATGTAACTTGGTATTATTCTTTCTGGTCCTTCAAAAAAAAAAACACAAAAAAAAAAGGTGGATATACACAGAATACCCAAAGAGAAGAGAGATATCTCCAATCCCATAGTGGTAGGTCCAAACTATGGTTAAGAGGACAAAGAGGTAATGTTTATTTGTGCTACAATAAAGACCAATTTTCCACCTGTTAGGTTTGTAATCTTTTTTTTTTAATTAATATCACTGCCAAAACATTGTGATTTGTAAATAGAGCGAGGGGAGAAAAAGAAAGCCTTAGTCAAAATCTGAAACGTACATACCTGTTCTAGGGGAGTGAAGGTAAACCAATAAATAATTTGGGGGGAACCTACACAAAAGGTACTTACAAATCTGTTAAATGCATAGATAAGAGAGCTCTCATCTCTCTGCATTGATACAGGAATACATATTCCTGATTTGGACCTTTGAAGCACCATATTACAGAGTTATTGTTATATGAAACCCAAGTACCATCCTGATATAGACACTGATTGTAAGGGAGGACTGCAGAAAAACAGGTTTGAGTATTTGGGACTCATTCAAAGAGATGCGAGTGTATGTGTGTTGTGTGTATACAAAACATGGTGTGGGCGTTTGGTGTGTTTGTGATGTTCTAAAGATATTCCAATGTGCTGAAATCGTTCCCACATCGGCACCACTCCATTTTGATGCTTTGGTCATCTAGAAAAGAATTCCTCCACCTCGGGTCCTGTCCAGAACAATATTTATGCAATACCTTGCTAACTTCTTAGAATTGTGCATCTACAGAGGGTGCCCAAAAAATGTGTATGCATTTTCAGAAAGGAAAAAACTATTACAGTTGTAATACTCAATCTATACTGATAACAAAACATGAATACAAGTCACGTGTATATATTTTTTTGGCACCCCTGATAATTTTTTAAATGATCACAAAATGAGATCACTGTTATCCAGAACTCTAATTTCAGCTGGTAAGCACAATGGCACAAATTGTACAAAATGACATGACGTTTTAGAAAACATGGTCAAGATTTTTGTAGAAATTTGGGGAGATTCGTCGTATCTGTCTTCTCTATAAGATGGCAATTTTGACCGGAATATTTTTTCCTTTCTGGGAAATGTCCTAAGTCCTGAAAAATGCTCTGCCAAATATCAAATGCAACTTTTCATTAAAAACTAATTAGGAAATATTAAGTGTGCATCCCTATTGTAGGAAAGAAGTAATCTGAAACCATTTCAACAGGTATTTGGTGTATACCTTTGAAAACCACATGCTCTTGAATAATAGAAATTAAACAAAGAGCAAATCAATGAGTCTAAAATGCATAAGGACTTGAAATTATAACCATTACCATGTAATATAGTGCACATGTTTGGCAGCACACCTAGCCTGGAAATTAGTGGTGGGAATGAATTCCAGTCCAATAAACTGCCACCTTTGTTGTGGAGGATTTTATAAAAACGCATGTTCAGGGCGAACAGCATGGAAGGTTTCAGATAAAATACAGGATGTCCAGTTCCCTTTGAATTTCAGATAAATGACAATTAATTTTTTAGGATACATATTCCCAGATAGATAGATAGATATTCATTGTTTATCTGAGATTCAAATTCAAGTGGGCATTCTGCATTTTTATTTGCTAAACCTGGTGACCCTAACACCATGGATTCTATGGCAATCTGGAAGCACAAAATGAGCTGGAAAATTTTTTATCAATTGCAATTGACATACAACATGATATTAGTTTCAGGTATACAACATAGCTATTAGACATTTCTATACTTACAAAGTGATCACCCTGATAAGTCTACTACCTATCTGACACCATACAGTCATTTCAATATTATTCCTTGTGCTATACTCTGCATCCCCATGACTACTTGGTAACAACCAATTTGTACTTCTTAACCCCTTCTCTTTTTTCACCCAGCCCGCCCGCCCCCCCCAATCCCCTCCCATCTGGCAACCATCAACATGTTCTCTGTATCTATGAGTTTGTTTCTGTTTTGTTTGTTCATTTATCCTGTTCTCTAAATTCCACATGTAAGTGAAATTATATGACATTTGTCTTTGTCTTACTTGCTATACTCAGCACAGTACCCTCTAGGTCCATCAGTGTTGTTGCAGATAGCAAGATTTTATTCATTTTTATGGTTGAGTAATATCCCATTGAATATATGTACCACCTACCCTTTATTCATTCACCCATTGAGGGACACCCAGGCTGTCTCCACATCTTGCCATTGTACGAGTGCTGCAGTGAATATATGGATGCACAGGTCCCCTTGAAGTAGTGTTGTGGGTTTCTTTGGATAAATACCCTGAAGTTAGGATTACTGGGTTCTTCTTTGTGTCATGTTATAGCCTTTGTTTTGTTTTAAAGTCTATTTTGTGTGGTGTAAGTATTGCTACCCCAGGTTTTTGGGGTTTTTTTCATTTCCATTTCATGAAATATCTTTTTCCATCCCTTTACTTTCAGTTTGTGTGTGTGTCTTTAGACCTGGAATGACTCTCTTGTAGGCAGCATATGTAAGGGTCTTGTTTCCTTATCCATTTAGCGACCCTATGTTTTTTTATTAGAGTATTTAATCCACTTACATTGAAAGTAATTGTTGAAAGATGTGTAGTTATAGCCATTTTATTTTTTATCTTTTTTTAATCTTTTTTTATTCTTCTTAAAGAAGTCTTTTAACATTTCTTATAAAGCTGGTTTGGTGGTGAAAAACTTCTTTAGGTTTTTTTTTTTGGTTTTGGTTTTTTGTGTGTGTGTTTTTGTTTGTTTGTTTGTTTGTTTGTTTGTTTTGTCTAGGAAGCTTTTTATCTGTCCTTCAATTCTAAAGATAGAATTCAGTGGGTAGAGTAATCTTGGTTGTAGGTCCTGGCTTTTCATCACTTTGAATATTTCCTGCCAATTCCTTGTGGCCTGCAAAATTTCTGTTGAGAAATCAGCTGACAGTCTATGGGGGCTCCCTTGTAGGTAACTAACTGCTTTTCTCTTGCTGCTTTTAAGATTCTCTCTTTGTATTTAACTTTTGGCATTTTAATTATGATGTGTCTTGGTGTGGGCCTCTTTGGGTTTGTCTTGTTTGGGACTCACTGCATATCCTGGGCTTGTATGTCTATTTCCTTTGCCAGGTTGAGGAAATTTTCTATCATTATTTCTTCAAATAGGTTTTCAATTCCTTGCTCTCTCTCTTCTCCTCAGGTACCCCTATAATGCAAATGTTTGTATGCTTGATGTTATCTCAGAGGTGCCTT